CAGTAGATATGAAGTGCTAAGTTTTAAAAAAGGAGAGTAAAAGCTGTAGTTGCTATGTGCTCAAGCTCAAGTGAAAAAAAATTGCTTTGTTTTGTAACTATTTTATTTGCATCTAAAATATCTTAATAAGGTTACTTATGTCAAAAGCAGATTAAGACGAATATTTCGAAGAAATGGTTTAAAAATGTAAAGATATTTAATTGTAGAGTGAAAAAAAAATAACTCCGTTTTATTGTCCATTTCCTAAATACGAAACTGTGAAATGGATTTTTGTTTAAACTATGGATACAGAGATATAAAAACAAACTAAATGTGAACTCTTGATACGAAGTGATGGAAAATATAAACAATCGTCGCGAATTTTCCACTAAATTCGGGTTTCAATTTACATGCGTATGGGCATTAGTGAATACACTGCGACTCCAAATTGGTAGTAAGCAAACTTCATTTTGACAAACGCAGGAAATTTCGTTTCATAATCCATGCGCATAATCCATTAAAGCCATCAATCAGTGGTTCTATTTGATGTACACAATGTTACCTACAGGGAGAAGTGACACGAAGGTAGTCGATGACCCGGTCAAATTTATTCCTGCGACACAAAGCCTTTCTGGTCGCCAACGCGGTTCGTGATCAAAGTAGAAAATTCGAAAATATTGTTAACGTTTAATAGGCACACACGACATGGCGGTATCTATAAATAATGTTCGTAATTTTCATAGTCCGAGAACGGAAATTCGGCGTGCGGAAATCTGATCCAGTAGCTAATCCAGTTTTCTAAACATAACTAACGGCATCTCATTGCCGAACGCAAAAGACACTGAGGAAGCAAGTGTGTAAAATAGGAGTTGACACGGTTGTGAACTGCGTATGTATGAGACGTGACGTGAGCTGACAGATCATCCAACAGATCCCCGGGGAATACCCGAATTCGCTTCGACAGGATCGGACTTTCCATTCGGATAATAAGGATTTTTAGCTTCAATGCGAATTCTTTGCAAACCGGAGTGGCTACATACTCTATTTGATATTTACCTTATCAGTACAAACATTATTCATTGCATTGCCATAAAACTCGCGCAATTAGCCCAAAAAAGTAGAGTCTATTGATAATAATAAAAATGACGAATGATTTTTAAACAATTTTTCGAAATACTAATTGTTAATTTACAAAATAAAGTTGAAATAAGAAATTTTTGGCTGGATAAAATTAATATTAAAGTACTACAAGAGAACATATATTAAAAAACAAAATATTATACTATTACTCGTTGGTCACTTGTAAATTTTGAAAATTAATTGATAATTTATTAAACAGGCGCGTCAAAAATTTGAGAAACGCCTTTGTAAGATGAGTTTAAAGAAAACCTATTAATTAAAATTTACAAAAAAATTAAATTCGTTTTTAAATAAAATACAATTGACGAAGATAAAAAATACTGGAATCGGCGATGGACAACAAAATTAAATGAAGAAAAATGTCATTTTCGCATAAAGCATTTATCGAATAATTTTTGCAATTTAGTATAGTATAGTTTGCAACACGTTTGGTAACACTTTTAAAGTCACTCATTTATTAAATATATAAATATATATATTTTTGGGTATATATTCCGGGATATCATCCGTTCGTTTGTTGAACTCCTACTGGAATCCTGCAGACGTTTCGACAAGGTATCACTTGGCATTTTCAATGCTCGCGCTCCGAAATCACTTCGAACATTGATCTCGGATGGTCCTATCAGGGAAAGTAAATCGATCCTTGCTCTCCGCAGATTCCAGAAAGCTTGAAACCTTGAAAGGTTGGGTAAAAACGTTAGAACTGTACATTTGGTATTCTCATAAAAGTTTTTAGATTTATTTATATTTATGTTGGGTCTATATTTAGTTGATAAAAGTTCTATTAACGAAGCTTAAATAAAAGGTATCATTTTTATGAAGGAAAAGAGTTATCTCTGATAAATTGTTACCTCTGGTGTCCTGAAGCAAACAGTTTAGTGAAAAATCTCTGGTTGGTAAAAATAAATCATACAGGATAGACAAAACTCTATAGCTCAATAAATCAGGGAAGGATGTCCCGCATCCTCCAGCTTGGCGGCCTATTAGCAACCAAATTGGATGTCTAATTAATACGAAACCAACAAAAAATGTGTAGTTGACAATTGATTTGAGCATGTTTTTATAACACAAAAAAACAAGCTCTATAAACCCGTCCCTGCTGTTTTTATATCTCCTTTCGGGATGTCCTCTATACATTTCGCGAATATAGCGAACTAGACTTCGCGAATGCTAATGCGGATCTTGTAATGGCTTATATGTATGTGTGTGCATCCGTCACATCTTTAAACAAGTAAGGAATATACGGCAAAAGGACAACCGATAATCAATAGCGAGCAGCGTATATCCTTTGATTTTGACAACCTGTATATTGGGTTATATGTAAACCCGCCACTGTTTAAATTTGTAAGTTATCAAAAGGTATATATAATTCAGTCTGGAACGTAAGGGATGAACGGAAGGCGTAGCGGTAACTCGAAGTAACGGCACCAAGAAGAAACTCTCCGTCAATACAAAATACGAAAGTAAACTTATGGATTGGCTATTGACTTTTGATCGTCGGTATTCGTTAAGACAACTTGGTGAATGCCGAGCTGATTTGTAAAACGGCCACGAGATAAGGAACATGTCTCGTTTAGTTGCTCGAACTGGCCGCGATCAAAAGAAAAATAAAACCGCAAAACTATAAAACTTACTCTACTTTTCTTATTGCGCGCGGGGCGGGGGAAGTTTCCGGGGACAATTTTTAAGAACGTTGTTATTTCGGGATTTCGGGAGACGGGAAACCGCTCGTCGAGATAAAAAAGTTTAAATACGCGTTGTCTTATCAATTCTTATTTTGCACCTTGTTCTTTCTTTTACGTTTTGGTCTTTACGCGATAAGGAAACGAACGTCGCGCTAACTCCAACTTTAAATCGCCTAAGAAAAATTTCCAGACGTACAATTCAATATTTCGCTTTCTGTTTTAAATAATTTTGAAGAGAAGACTATATTTGGAATAACCAATCCCAATTGCGATCCCCTCGAAGATTGAGAGAAACAGGAGGAAATTATATGTATCAATTGGCATCACTGGGGACTAGGATTTTTTTTTTTTGGACAAAAGATTATTTATTTCCATTCCTTACTTTCATTGGCAGTCGTAGAAACGAAGTAAAATTTATCACAAAACCATAAAAATTCAAACACACTCACAAGTCAAGGTCTCAAAAGTTATTATTTTCAAATCATTACACGTGTTTCGCCCTTATCAGATATATCAAGTTCTCAACTCAAACGCACATAGACACGAATTGTTATGTGAAACTTGACATTTGACTAGACTTACTTGGCGTTTTTTTTCTCTTATGTATATTTTTTAAGAAAATTATAGTTTATGAGATATTGTACGTTAATTAATAAATTAAAAGTTCAAAAATATCCATTAGTGAGTTCATTCATGTTCCATTTATCTATGAAATGGTGTTTCTAATATGTTTGTTTTTATGTTACTAAAAGTGAGCACCTGTGCATTAACAAAAGAGGGAGACAAGGGGAATATTTAATTAAAATTTGTTAAATTATGAATAAAATACCTAATTTAATATATTTCTGAACCTTTTGGCATTATTAATTAAAATAAAAAATTGAAAACTACAATTGTCTAACCTACAATTGTATAGCTCTTTTTTGCTAGATATTTTTATTTCCAAAATTTACGTGAAACGGAAATAACCTAACAGAGCAATTATGCGTAGAGTAAAACATGTGAAAAATTGAAAATTTCTTTAAAAATGATATTTTTAAATAAAGTTCAACGCTCTGTAGTCTAGAGACCTTCTTCAAATGTGAAAAATGATATAATGACGTTCTATATGTTTGATGGTAATTTCTCAGTTTAGATTTTGGTCACTTCCATTATGAATATACAATAAAAAACTTATTTTATATTTATTTCAATTAATTTATTATATTATTTTTGGAGTGCATACTCAATATTGTGGTATGAAAAATTCCTAGCATTCGACGTGATCAAGTCTATAATAAATTCATGGTAATGAAACTACCAAATTTAAAATGATAAAATAATGCATTCTTTAGAAATGTATTTTGACACCATTCTTTGACTAAAATTAAAATTGTTTACGTTCAAATATGTTGTCGTTAAAAATGTTGTTGCTATGAAAATTTCTGTAACTATTATTGAGAAGATTCAAATAAAGAATAAATAACGGAAGCAAATGGAATAGGTGTATGCTTGCCAAATGGAATGATATTTAACATATTTCACAGAAATTTAATCAAATAATTTAAATGTAAATCTCATAAATTATAAATTTACAGAAAAATATTCATAGCTGAAAGGGTTTTGTGAAATCTTGGCAGTTTAAGTTATGTTATTCAAAGAAAAGAAAATATTTTTGATTTAAGAATATTAGTGAATTAAAGCATAAATATTCTAGTATTATTCATAAGAGCCCCTAACTGCTTCGCTTGGTTCTTTACATTTGTGAAAACTACACATTCTAAGGGTATTTTTTCCGAATTTTAATAATCATCGTTTTGTTTGGGCAGTGTATTACAGACCAACAATATTTAGAAATATTAGTGACACGTTGTAAGAGACATTTAAAGATACCGACCACCTGCACCTCAACACTAGCGACGAAGAACGTCTGGATGTACAATTTTACCTCTATTTTACAATGTTAATTACAGATCTTACATGTCGTAGAACCTCCCATGTAGCGTCTTTTCATTTCGCCATTGGTTTATTGGCAATGCGTTTAGGCTTTCATTGGTTGGCCCCAGGTCTGCTATGAAGAAGGCGCATGACGGAAGGTAGGTTTGGAAAATGTTAACTGACAGCGGCAGTGTTTATCTGTCCTTCGTCGTGGTAACTAGCGGTCTTTCGGAGCAAAAAGCGGACACCACGAGGTCGTAGTTTCATCCGGTTAAAGAAAAAAATTAAATCATGTTTTTGGATTGTTCATTTCGACAAAAGTTGCTCGTATTTCTGAGTATAGTGTTTGCTAGCAATGCCGCCACTTCTTCGGGAGGAACTGCCAATGGTATGATCTAATTAATGTTCGTTGTAGATGAGTGTGTACAACTACAGATGACCTGCACCCGAGCGTAGCTGTGCGAAATTCCGCTTAGAGTTATTTTAATTTGTTATTCATTGCTCAAATATAAAAGTTGCAAAGCCATAAATGAAAATTTTTAAGAATAAAATATTTAACTTCCCAGTTTAATATTTCCCGAAAAGTTATCATTCTTCTCCGTCCTCCCGAGCCGCTGTAGCTTGAAATGTTTAGTAAACAAATCATTGTTAGGCTGTGATGTGTTTTAAGGAACTCATTAAATTTTGGTGTATATTTTTAAAACACCGGCGGCATAAACATAATCAATCATTAATAAAAGGACGAGAAAAAAAAAAGATTTTTGCCGGCACTCGAAAAAAAGTAATTTTTAATTTCACTTATTAACGTCCGAGTTGCTAGGTGAATATAAATGCAATAGGCTCGATATGGATCCCACCGGATGTGTTATCAAAAACGGGAATATTTGTTTTGAGGTGCGTTGGTTCGTAGCCATTAGACTAATTAAATTTGGCAGAGTAAAGCTTTGTTTTACGGTTATAATTTTTGCAAACACCTAATGCATTTTGTTAAATATTGTAACCCTGTTTACTTACAATAAGAATACATCGTAAAATTTTAAAAAAAAATGTAAGAGCGATAACAAGAATGGCAAAGTGAATTGTAAAACTGAAAATAATTAATAATAATTGCGTTTGTAATTTCTAATATATAACGTACTTATTATTATGGGTTCTTTACGAAACCATAAAGAATGTAAATTTGTGGGTTCAAGATAATTTCTAATTAAATTTAAATAATGTGCAATTTCAGCATGTTAAAGTAGTATGGTTTGATCACTTTTATTTATTTCAAGCTTACCCTTTTTTTAAGTTTCTTTTTATTTTGTTTTTAATTTTTTTTATTAATAAATGACCTCAAAACGCTAACGATGTAGTACTGACACCGAGGCCTAATAAAAATAATAATTTAGCAATATTTGCAAACAGTTTTTATGTTTGATTCACAAATGCGAAAAAAATGACAAAAATATTTTATCCTGAGCGAAATAATCTCCAGAATCAACAATCATTAACTATGCTGGGAAAAAAATGATTCAATCATTAGAGTAGATAAAAAATTAATTATTATTCGAAGTTAATTATTAATTAATCTAATAAAGAAATTAATTAGTAATACGTTTATATTTTTTAATAATAAATATAATATAAATTTGTATATTTTCGCACCTCAAATGTAATCTGACGGTACTACTAATAAAAAAAAAACAAAAATTTCCAATATCATTTCAGGCTTTTGCCTTTTTTGTTTCTTTCTTATTTTTCATTTGTCTTTGAAAAATTTTTCCCTTTTTTTATTTATTTATAACTAACCTCAAAATACTAATAATATAGTGCTGACATAAAAATAATAATTTTGCAATATTTCCAATAATTATTTTCTTTAAAAACATGTTCCGTAGTGAATAAACAGCTTTTATGTCCGGTGTACAAATCGGAAAAAAATGAAAAAATTATCTTATCAATTTATTAGTATTAATTGTCAATCAGTTATTATGCGAAGTTAAATTAAATGAATTGAGAAAATAGCGTGTTAAATTTAAATAAGCGATTAATTTTCAGTGCGTTTATATTTTTCGGGTATTGGTTTGGTACACCCTAGCAGGTTGTTATTTTGGTGTCATATGAACGAAAAAAAAATTTAAGTTTATAAATTGGTTGAATTAAATTGGAGCTGCTACTTCACTAACTAAAACTAACTTTGCTTAGTGCTCAATATGCCATTAATTAAAACAGTAAGCAATTATCACTCGTAGTATTAAGTTCGGTTGGTCGCTATAATAAAATAACTAATAGAAACAAAACAAATATAATATAATAATAATAATGAATAAAAGGGAATTGTTACCAATTGTTGTATATGTGTTTGATAAATATGTATTACATATTTGCTAAATTATTTCCAGTTTCAGTTTAATAAATATAAAAAATGTTTAGAAACTTTATGTTTGGTGTTATTTCAAAAGTTATTTATGCGAAATGAAAACTTCAATGGAAATTTTTAGCCAGTAACATATTACAGACAATAAAATTTAGCACGTAGCTTGAAAAGTCAAATAACACAAATTTCGGTTAGTCTTGTAATCGGTGGAAAATTTCATTTTCGAACCAAATCTTTCCGATACGATACATCGTGATGATAAGAATAAATAACCGCCCTTTTCAGCGCCGAGCTTTTATCTTCTCGCTTTCTTTAGCCAACGGTTTCATCCATTTACTATGTTAATCCCCTAATGTTCATGGACAGTGTCATTTAATGCCGGTCTTAATGCTTCGTTCTTCTTTAAATTAATGGCTATCTAATCGTCTCTACGTTGACTATACCGTTTGTTTTATATTTGATACAGCTCGACACTCGAGAGATTTTAGATTTGTGCTCAGCGATCGGTATATAGCGCACGAAAACAAACACTAAAATTTCACCTCTTCTACCCTCACTCGAAAGAAAACAACGGAAATGTAACAAAACTTGAAATGTTTGTTTGACTTTCTATTAATAGACAGTGCCACTTGGGCTCCTGCTTTCCAATTTCCGTTAAACATGCATTATTTAACTATAACTTAGTAGCTGCGCCTCTCCGTATTTTGATTAAGGGGGCTTTTACCCTCGGTTATCGGCTACGAGCAATGAATCAGAACTAAATATTTCACCCTTATATTGGGTAAAACGTCACTGTCAAATTTACCAATGTGCCATCGTATTACGCCTTTGTATGTGGGGGAGGAGGGTTCAAACCGCAGATGACGATGCCGAAGTGGTAATTGGGTTTCGTTTCCTTTTTTTGGTGAGGACATATTTATAACGTCACGGCTTTTACGTTTGTCACGTATTGTGTTGCCAGTTTTTATAACACCGCTTATTCCGCAGCTGTTTTTTTTTGGTAACAGCTTTTACGCCCTATTTTCGCGATTCAGTTCACTAGTTTAAACTTTAAAACGGCCCCTCGAATGGGAACGAACTGATAACGAGTGACATTAAATGGTTATATTATCTTCGACTATTTTTAGATTTGAAACGCTAAAATTTTGGATGTATTGGATTTTGGATGATTTTCTTCATATATACGAGGAATGTTTACAAAGTTCTGGAATTTAGCTATAATTTTTATTATTTTATTAATTCTTGTCAATATTACAATGTAGTATCTCAACATAATCTTCATTTAACTGAATCCCTTTGTTCCAACGATCAACTACTTTTTTTAAGCAGTCCTCAAACAACTTTTCGGTGCTTCCTCAATCCACCTATTTATGAAACGTCTTCTTCTTCTTCTTCTTCTTTCGGTACCATATCAGGTCCCCCTAACGTTGGCGAGTTGATTTTAAGTTTAATTAACAATGCCAAAAAATTTAAAAATATATTAAATTAGGTATTTTATTCATAATTTAACAAATTTTAATTAAACATTCCCCTTGTCTCCCTTTTTTGTTAATGAACAGGTGCTCACTTTTAGTAACATAAAAACAAATTTTTCGAAAAATGTTTTCGGTGTGTCAATTGGTGCTCACTGAATAGTTGTTCGGCACTGCGTATGTTCGCGGATGTTCTTTAGTCACGACATTTGTTTCCTTCCAACTCCTCTGCGACCTTCAATTTTGCCTTTCATTATGAGTTGAAGGATTCTGTAGCGGTCCCCTCTAAGAACTTGCCCCAGGTACGATATTTTTCGTATTTTGATTGTGTTAAATAACTCATTCGTCGGTCTGCAGGGCGGTCCATGATATTCGGAGCATTCTTCTATGCAACCACATCTCGAATGCTTCCAGGCGATTAATAGCATTAGCCTTGAGAGTCCAAGTCTCAGCACCGTATAACAACACAGACCAAATATAGCATTTGATCATTCTTTGGCGCAATTTGAGGTTTAAATTATCATTGCAGAAGAATGGTTTCATTTTCATAAAAGTTGTGCGAGCTGTTTCTATTCTGCATTTGATTTCTTTATCTGGATCTAGTTGCTCTGTGATATAGCATCCAAGATATCTGTAATAGGTAACTCTCTCAATTTTTTGCTGGTCTATATGTAGGGATGCATCGGCATGTGACTGAATACCATAAATTTTGTTTTAGCGACATTCATTTTTAGACCCATGTTCCGTCCTGTCGTGTTTACGCAATCCAACAGCTCTTGAAGGCCTTGGATACTATCACATAAGATGACCGTGTCGTCGGCATACCGAATAGTATTAATCAGTTCGCCGTTAATCTTCACTACATGGTCTTTATCTTGTAGAGCCTCTTTGAAAATAACATTCGCGAGTTAATCATCCATTGAATCTTACCACTGTTTTTTGATTCCAGTACAAGTTCTCTATGATACGTAGATCTTCAAATGCTTTTTCGTAGTCGATGAAAGCCACATAGATATGTTTACGTTGGTCGCGACACTTTTGTAGGAGGACATTTAGGGCAAAAAGTGCCTCACGGGTTCCAAGTGCGTTTCTAAAATCAAATTGGGTTTCGTCTATATCCCTTTCGCACCGGCTTCTTATTCTTCCATGTATTATGTGAAGGAAGATTTTAAGTGTGTGGCTCATGAGGTTAATTAACCTGTATTCATTGAATCTCTTCGCCTGTTGTTATTTCGGAAGGGCTATAAAAACAGACTTCAACCATTCCTCGGGTATTTTACCAGTATCATATACATTGTTGAAAAACTGCACTGATGTGGTCTTCGTGGATCATCTGGAAGAGCTCTGTTGGAATGTTGTCTGGTCCCGTTGCTTTCTTGGGTTTGCCCGTTTTTATAGAATGCAGAACTTCCGATATCAAGATTTCTGGTCCTTCACCTTGATTTACATTACCCTGTATATTTGGTCTGTCTGTATATGAAACGTTTTGGTCAGTTAAATTGTCAAATCGAACATCTCGTATACGTTTTTTAAATCTGGAAATAGCGGATAATCACT